ATATCATCTGTATCTCGGTGACGCACAAATAAGATTAATACATCAAAACAGAGGTAATTCGCTGTTCTTTTAGGAAACAATATCAATACAAATCATTTCTATTCAGTTTCTAATGAAAAATTGCACTTTCTTCTTTATTCCTCCCATCAAACGCTGCACGCCTCCGGAGTCAACTTCCTTGGCACATTTGTTCCACATTTTGGTCATCTGAATCGCGTCCCGAGCCGTTTTTTCCACTTTTCTTAAGCTTCCGCTTGATTATTGCCCAAACTCTCTCGATGGGCCGGAAATGCTGGCATTTATGTGTGGATTTATGTTTTATCGATGAAATCTACGTTATTATCGCGGTACCACTGGATGACTTCCCGGCTGTAGCGGCAACTCGTCAAATCTGGCCAAAACTTCACGGGACCTTTATGGGCTTTAATGAAAGGTAGTACGCGGTTTTTGAGACATTCTTCCTTGTACAGCTTCGAGTCCATCGTCTTATTCGTCCAGGGGTTGAAACTGTTGACGTTTTTTACTACACTCGCTTTGTTGTCCTGTGCGACAGTCTGTTTGTTTTCGTACTCTCATGCTCTACCGTCGTCTCTCTTACACAACGCAAACGGTAGAACAACATTCGAGCAAAAAGAAAATTATAAAATAACTATCATATGACATGTGTGATTTCGTTCTAATTCCTCAATTTGGTGTTAATAAAACCTTTTCTGATCAGAAATTCTATTACTTGAACATCGCTGCTTGCTATTTTCAGAATTCACACAAGCACAGCATCAGCAGCTCTTATTATAGGAAAAACTAAAATACATGCATTCGTGACGGTCTTCGGCGACAATGTCGTATGACAGAGCCTTTCATATGACATTTTAGTTTACTACTGTAATGTGATAGCTTGTTTTGCAAGTGTCGGAAGCAAAGGCAGTCGATTATCACAGAAAATGTGTCGACTACGGTGACCGCTTACAAGACTGTATTAGTCACGAACACTTTGGTCTTTGCTCTGCACCTCCATGTCCCTTGCCAAATCATCAGTTTTTTTTTTGGAAAATTTGTCCATAAAAGCACACTTAAACTTCGCAGGAACATCCCCTCGTGCCGTCGCCATGTAGAATTTTTGGCCAGGAAGCTGTCCGAAATCCATTTTGACGTAGGTTTCATCGTCGATGAGCAGGCATTCTTGGTACTTCGTCAAAACCTGCTGGTAAAATTTCCGAGCTCGAGTTTTGGCGACGAAACTTTGCTTCAACGTTCTGTTTGGTTGATTGCTGGCTCGATAAGAACGATATCCTGCTCTCAAACGAATTATTCGAACGGTACTGCGAGCAGCAGCGTATTTTTGTGCGATTTCATTATCTGCTAGTCCAAGGTTTGCTCTGACGGTTCTCAACACCTTCTGGTTCAGCTTGCGGTCATATATTCCACTACGACGCTTACCTTGAGGCTCTCGATCCACGCTTTTTCGCTCCCTGAAACGTTTCAGCACATCATACACGGTTGATTTGGCGATTTTCAACGTTTTTGCGATTTTTATTGCGGACCACGTTGGATTATCAACGTGGGTGTGCAGAATTTTTTCTCTCCTCTCGGCTTCCATCTGGAATAATTTTTGACTCACTGCACGAAACACCGTGAAATTTATACCACAGAGAGTGGGCACGTAGGTAAACAAACCACTGTAAAATAATTCTTGCAGCGGTAACTTTCCGTGCCGCTGCAACACAATACGTGATTCCGGATTCTAACTGGACAGAACTTTAGTGGTAAGCGTGATTAAGGCTTGTACTCGAAAAAAATGCACCATTTTTATCCGTGGGTAAAAATTGATGAAAATCTGGGTATAACTAGTTTACATGTGCAAAATTTCATATCAATCGGTTCAGTGGTTATTGAGATGTCATCGAAACAAGAAGAAAAACGCCGGAGAATTTTGCGCGCCGTCATGGAAAATCGGACTGCGACCATGAGATGGATCGGAAGACAACTGGGAATCACCCAAACAACTGTGTCTCGGGTGGTAAAATCGTTTAAGGAGTCCCAGACGACCGAGCGGTGGGCTGGAAGTGGAAGAAAATCGAAAACAGCTGACCCTGTGAAGGCCCGGAAGGTGTTGGATTATTTCAAGCGTGGCTCTGAAGGCAAAGTGTTCCACCTGATTCGTTCAGCAAACCATGAAACGAGCTGGGTTTCGTGTATTCAAGGTCCGGAAGGCACCGAACCGGCGTGATCAACAAAACACGGCAGCCAAATCCCACGCAAGGAAGCTGTATCGAGAGTGGTTAACGAAACCGATGTGTGTGGTTATGGATGACGAAACCTACATCAAGGCAGACGCAAAAAAGAAACCGGGGCTAGAGTTCTACGTTGCCAAATCACGGTTTGATGTTCCGGAAGACATAAGGAAGAAGAAAGTGGACAAATTCGCCAAAAAATACTTGATCATATATCATATGCCAATGCGGTAAACTGAGTAAACCGTACATCACAATGGGTACCATCAACAGCGAAATTTACCTCACCGAGTGCCTCCAGAAGCGTCTGTTGCCCTTCCTGCGGTCCCACGGAAGCGAGACATTATTTTGGCCGGACCTGGCTTCATGTCATTACGCGCGATCGACGTTGGATTGGCACAGAGACAATAACGTTGTTTTTGTACCAAAAACCGCCAACCCCCCAAATTCACCAGAGATTCGTCCGGTGGAAATATTTTGGTCCATAATGAAGGCCAAAGTTCGAAAATCGTCCAAGGTGTTTAAGAACGAGCTGGAATTGAAGAAAGAATGGATGAAAGTGACCAAAAAGGTCGGCTCCACCATTGCAAAAAATGTAATGAGGGGTCTTAAGGGAAAGGTGCGGGCTTTCAGCGATGGAAAGGAAATTGAATAAAGTAATTATGCTGAATCGTGATCCATATGTATTTGTTCATTCCCTGAAAGTTTCTAGAAAATCCGACTTAAAATAAATTTTTGGCGAACACTTTTGTACAGGCCTTACCTCTCACCCCAACAGGCCTAGAGTCAATCCCAGTCGGTTAGTAAAGCCGTTGATCCTCGGTTCATAAGTTGATGGGTCGATAGGTAGGGTCCAGGTGTGGGAGCTGACTCCCTGGCGTCGCGGTAGCATTGATGCTCAGCATGGAAAACAAGATCGACGGAAAACAAATCTGTTAGACCAACAAACTTGTGCCATTTGATTCAGGTTTAATTGGGAGCTACGCCGTTAGAGGCGCTTCACTTTCATATTACTTATGACGGGTACTATAAAATAGGGAATGGTCCAACATAGAATATCTCCTGATCCTGGCTGTCAAAGTTGCTGTCTTGACAAAGTTCTTCTGGTGAACAAGTCCTTTCAGAGACTTACTTTACCACCCAGACAACCAGAAAGCTCGTATATTCAAAATTGTTTTCGTGATATACAAACAAACAATTCGTATATAATGCAAAGAAATGGCTTATATGTACAAAAGTGGAGGCCATATACGTGTATATTTTAATTTTATTTTAAAAGATTTGATTTAACATCATATACGATTTAATCTGTAATAACAAAAGTCTTACGATGTTATCCGATTTAATTTCTGATACAGTACGACGGAAAAATGAGTCATCGCATATAGGTCGGAAGTTTGCATTCTATACGATTTAACTTAAACATAATGCGAAGTATGCCATTTGTTAGGGAAAGTATGAAACATAATTGTGTGCATCACTGTAGATAATTTAAGAGAAATGAGTGACCACGATCGTCTGCATGTATGCAGATCATACTCTACCTACCTATAAGAGAGATAGGCACGATAGACAATCAGTGATGTGCTCTCGCAGCATCACTTGTAAATAAAGATAGGAGAATAGCCAGTTAGCTCTCGACCACCAACGGTACCGGTATCGATTCAGTTCGATCGCGTTGAATAAATACAGTCCACTTAGAGTAATAAATGCGTTTCGTAGTGCATAGAGTAAAATTACTAATTAGTGATCGTATCACACCGGTGTTAATCCGAACTAGCTATTCGCGGGTGCGCACGTAGTACAAACGGGGAATTACCCAACATTTTGGTCCTGGCGAACCGGATTTGCCAGACCCGTTGATAACTTGTTCAGTGATAGTGCGCGTCGCTTGGGTTCGATACGGTCATCGAACTACCGGACAATAGACCAGTGGTGTCTGATTGTTTGCCGTTTTACTGGCGTGGTGGTACACTGTAGGTGATACCTGTTTAGGTTTGAGAAGGATCTCGTTCATCTCCTGTGGACATCACCATCGATTCCCAAAGGCCTAGGGCCAAGTCAGCTAAGTACAGTGTGTGTGAGATTGCGTGGTTGAGGTGGCTTGGTTGGTTTGCATTGTGCGACAGCCATAGCAAAAGCTCTACGAACGGTAGAGAAAATTAAAGCTTGATGAGATTACATTGCATGCGAGATTGTACTCATCATCAGTAGAATACTGTGGAGAACGTTTTTGCATTTCTCCGGTTTTTATAATTTATTGCCTAGCTGGAAAACTTTGATATTGCTGATAATTGATTGAGTTTTTACATTTGGCCTGTCAGTTGTCAATCGTTCGATCGCTTGAGGTCTCGGGAGTGATTTGGGCTAGTGATTCGTAGTAAGTGCAAGTGCAAGTCTTCTGTAACGATGCCAGTGTCTGAACTGAGACAGCTAGTGAAGCTGGAACGTCATGCGTGGATTTCGTTGGAGAACATCGAGGAGTTCCTGGCTTCGTATCAAGAAGAACGTGATAAAAGTGCAGTGGAATTACGTCTAAAGAAGATCGACGATGTGTATAATAAATACTGTGAAGTGAGAGTAAAAATTGAAGTGCTTACAGACGATCTCGACGTTGACGATGGCTCGCAGAATGCAGCTGAGGAAGTAGCCACAGAGCCGATTGATATGGCTGAGGCGCACCAGAGAGAGAATGAAGAAATTTTCAAGGAGTTTGAAAATAAATACTTTTGACTGAAGCAGGCACTTCTTTTGAAATGCAGCGTAGATATGGGAGTTGTTGCTGAACGGCAACCTGCAGTTCAGGTCTGCCAGCCATCGCGGACGAAGTATCCGGAGCTGAGGCTACCCACATTCTCGGGAAAGCTGTTGGAATGGATCAACTTTCGGGACAACTTCAAGTCGTTGATACACGACAACCATCAACTCTGTACAATCGATAAATTCAATTATCTACGTACCTCGTTGAAGGATGATGCTCTTCTGCAGATCAATCAAATTCAAGTGACTGCTGCCAACTACACTCTCGCTTGGGGAATTCTGGAGTCGAAGTTCGAGAACCACAAGCTCATCGCACAGGAACATTTGAAGGCATTGTTCGCTGTTGCGCCAATGAAATTGGAGAGCTTTCAAGGATTGAACCATGTTCTAACGACGTTCAGGATCAACCTCCAACAGTTGGAGAAGCTGGGTGAAAATACGGAAAACTGGAGTACGCTGTTGGCTTTCATGCTATCCCAGAAACTGGACGATGATACGCTTCGCCAGTGGGAAACCCACCACAGCTCGAAGAATATTCCCTCCTACAAGGCAATGGAGGAGTTTCTGGAGAATTACTGTGGAATCCTGCAGTCAACGTCAGCGCGAAGAAGTAACGAGTGCAGGAAGTCATACAAGAACCCAGTAGTTCACGCTGTGGTATCGTCGAAAGACGATTGCCCAATCTGCAATGCTGGACCACATTCCGTGGAGCAGTGTAGACGTTTCGGGAATATGAAGGTCGTTGATAGGAAGATGCTTGTTCGAAAGCTCGGATTGTGCCTAAATTGCTTGCGTTCCGGTCATTTCGTTGCGGATTGTTCGAGGTCTACGTGCAATAAGTGTGGATACAGCCACCACTACCTGCTTCATCCGTACACCGCATTCGCAAGTAAGGGGCAGACATCGAATCAGCCCTCCTCCCAGAAGCCTGCCAAAAGACCTCAAGACGCGAACTTTCAGTCACAGCAATCAAATCAGGCTCAAAACCGGAACAGTTCTCAACACACACAGTCTACACCAACTCCAAGTACATCTTCGCAAAATGCATGCTTGTCACTTCCCACCAATACTCCAACAGTACACCACACTACTACACCATCCAAAACACACCACCATACAAACAATGCATTGTTATCAACCGCTCTCGTGAAGCTCGGTGATCGTCACGGAAACACCGTTCTTGCACGCGCTTTGTTGGACAACGGGTCTCAGATTAGTCTGATGACCGAAAACCTTTCTCAAAAGTTGAATTTCCGACGAACTCGGGAAAATGTACCAGTGAAAGGAGTGGGTGGTGCCCTTTCTGTTGCTAAACAAGCCGTATTAGCAACGGTTTTGTCATGTAACTCGTCGTACACGTCTTGCGAGGTCAAGTTCTTTGTACTGTCGAATATTACATCAAGCCTGCCGCAGCAGCACATTGAGGTATCATCGTGGAATATACCTCCAGGAATTTGCCTAGCAGATCCAGCCTTCAATGAACCTGGATCTATTGATGTGATTCTGGGTGTAGCTGTTTTCTACGAGCTGCTGCTAAGTGCACAGTTGAAACTCTCTAATTAGGGTCCTATTCTTCGCCACACGGAGCTTTAATGGATTGTTGCTGGAGAATTACCTGAAACCTCTGTTATCAGCTACAGCACGGTAGCTTCGTCATCGGTAACTACGGAAGACGTCTTAGAGGAACTAACTAAGTTCTGGGATTTAGAATCCTGTCAAACGACGAGCTGCTTGTCCATCGAGGAGTCTGCCTGTGAAGCCATCTTTGAGGAGACAACCACAAGAGATCCTGATGGAAAATTTCGGGTAACATTGCCGAAAAGGAAGCATATGCTGGAGAAACTGGGAGAGTCTAAGGCGATAGCGAAGAAACGGTACCTCTCCATGGAGAAACGGCTGAATGCCAACCCGGAAATGAAGGCATTGTATTCGACTTTCATGCACGACTACCTTTCCATGGGTCATATGACGGAGGTAGTAAACGACGATGAGGAATCTGGTCCGGAATATTACTTGCCGCATCATGCAGTGCTGAAACCAGACAGCACTACTACAAAACTAAGAGTAGTTTTCGATGCATCGTATTCTACGGATTCGGTTGTGTCCTTGAATGACGTCTTGATGGTGGGACCTGTCGTTCAAGACGACCTACGAAGCATCCTTTTACGATTCCGGTTGTTCAAGTATGCTGTTGTAGGAGACGCAGAGAAAATGTACCGGATGGTATGGCAGCACGAACTGGATCAGCTGCTGCACAAGATATTCTGGAGAGATTCGGTTCAGGAGCCATTGCGGACGTACAAGCTATCCACTGTAACGTACGGTACATCATCTGCACCTTACCTTGCCACTCGTTGTCTGAACAAGTGTGCTGAGGATGGAGCAGAGCGCTATCCCGTAGCTTCAGTGGTGGTCAAGAAGAGTTTTTATGTTGACGACATGCTAGCCGGCTCTCATACCGTTGAAGAAGGCGAACAGCTCTGTAAGGAGGTACTGGAGCTCCTGAAGGGATCAGGTTTCAACCTCAGGAAGTGGAACTCCAACAATCCAACAAAAATTTTGAAGGCAATACCCTCGCATCTGCGGGACGATCGAGAATTCCTGAATTTAGATGAGAAGGCAACTGTGAAGACGTTAGGTCTCACTTGGAAGACGGCTACGGACACACTGTGGATCAAGGTTCCGGATTGGAGGCCAGGTGGGCCAATCACGCATCGTGTTGTTCTATCCGAGATAGCACGTCTTTTCGACCCCTACGGACTAGTTGGTCCGGTAGTAGTCCAAGGAAAACTATTTCTTCAAGAGCTTTGGAAGGCGAAGTACTCCTGGGATGAACCACTAAGTGATGAGCTTCAGTCACAATGGTTGGAGTTCAGAACCAATCTTTGCGAGTTAGACGCTGTGTCTGTTCCTCGATGGATCAGGTTCGGAAGAGATGTAATCACATGTGAATTCCACGGATTCAGCGATGCAAGTGATAAAGCATACGGTGCCGCGATATACTTAAGATGTGTGAACCGGGACGGAGAAGTCACGATCAACCTACTGTTGGCCAAATCAAAGGTTGCGCCGTTAGAGGACCTTAGTAAAAGGAAGAAGAAGCAATCCACACCTCGGTTGGAGCTATCTGCTGCGCTACTGTTAGCGCACCTGTATGAGTCTGTCTCCACCAGCATGATGATAGCAGCCAAATCATTCTTCTGGACCGATTCTACAATTGTAAAATTCTGGATTTCGTCACACCCGTCTAGATGGCAGGTCTTTGTGGCCAATCGTGTATCAGAGATACAACATGTGACAAAGGGTGGAATCTGGAACCACGTTCCGGGAATCGAGAATCCCGCTGACATAATTTCGAGAGGAGCCACTCCAGCTCAGATAACGAGCAATTCTCTGTGGTGGAATGGTCTAGAATGGCTGAAAAAGGAAACCCAGTACTGGCCTGTAAACGAGCAGGTTCCAGAGCAGCAGTTCGATTCGGTAATCCTGGAGGAGAGACCACTAGTGTCAGCAGTCCTACAGACTCTGCCTCCAAGTGAGATTTTCACGCTACGTTCGTCTCTACTGAACCTTGTTCGTCTGACCGCTTGGATACGCCGTTTTTCCTTCAACTGTCGACCAAGAAATCGGTTGCATAGGAAAACTGGATTGCTGACAGCTGGTGAACATGATTCATCCTTGATTCTCCTAGTGCAGCTAGCCCAATCGGAATGTTTTCCATTGGAATTATCAAACCTTGCGGCTAAGGGCGAAGTTAGGCCTTCGTCGAAGCTGCATGCTCTGAATCCTGTGATGGTTGATGGGATACTCTGCGTTGGCGGCCGGCTCGGAAATGCTCCTGTTTCGCGAGGAAGGAAACATCCGATGATTTTGGATAGCCATCATCCACTCACGAAGCTCATCTTGGTCGACTATCACCGGCGATTGCTGCATGGAGGACCGCAGTTGATGATATCGTGTGTTCGAGAGAGGTTTTGGCCGTTGAGCGTCAGAAACTTAGCCAGGAAGGTAATGCACGAGTGCGTAAAGTGTTTCAGGGTGAAACCACGCGTCCATGATCAGTTGATGGGAGATCTTCCGTTGGAACGAGTATCACCAGCTCCTGCTTTCCAACGAGTGGGTATCGATTATTGTGGACCATTCGAACTGCAGCCTGTCACCCGGAAGAGCGCTCCGGTGAAATGCTATCTCTGTTTATTCGTTTGCTTAGTCTGCAAAGCCGTCCACATTGAGGTCGTGATGGACCTCACCACCGAGACATTTCTTGCTGCTCTTCGGAGATTTGTTGCCAGACGGGGAAGACCGGAGTTGATACTCTGCGACAACGCCTCCAATTTCGTGGGAGCACAAAGAGAACTGCGTGAATTGCATCGAATGTTTCGTCAACAACAGTTCCAAGAAAAGGTGTCAATGGAGGCTGCACAAGATTCGATCGAATTCAAATTCATCCCTGCCAGATCACCCAACTTTGGTGGCTTGTGGGAAGCCGCAGTCAAATCGCTGAAAGGGCACATGAGGAGAGTAATCGGCAACAGAATGCTGAAGTATGATGAACTGCATACCGTTGTGACGCAGATTGAAGCATGTCTAAATTCGAGACCGCTGACACCTCTCAGTAATCACTCCGGTGACTTGGAAGCATTGACTCCCGGGCATTTCTTGATCCAACGCCCACTCACCTCAGCACCCGAACCAAGTCTTCATGATCTACCAGAGAATAGGCTCAATAGATGGCAACGTGTTCAGAACTACAGTCAACTGATTTGGAAGCGCTGGTCAACGGACTACTTGTCAACTCTGCAGAGTCGCAACAAATGGACAAGGCAAAGAAATAATTTGAACGTTGGAACAATGGTTCTTTTGAAGGAGGACAACATTCCACCTCTCAAGTGGAAGCTGGGACGCGTCATGGAGACTCACCCAGGGCCAGACGGGAACGTGAGAGTTGTCACCGTTCGTACGAAGGATGGCTCTTATCGCCGGGCTATTTCGAAGATACGTATTTTTCTCATCCGAGATAATCAACTGGATGTCGAGGAATCGCAGTAGATCCAGTACAACAATAAGTATTATCGCCCCCGTTGGGGCACTTTTGGCACCTTGCGGTGTAACCCCGCCGCTGTTGCCAGGGGCAACCTATAAGTAACGTATTATATATTCTGTGTATCCGGTAACATACTGATCTGTTCTCCCTCGACAGCCATAACCTGCTGCTCATATGCTTGGCTAGAGAGATCATCCGTTCCTTCGTTCATCCGTATGCAATCAACCATAATACGGATCCACCTCTTATACCTTGCGGCATCGTAGATCACTGAAGATCAACACAGCTAAGTATGGCCCCATATGGGGCAAATTTGGCGGTAACCGACAGTCCATGTCGTTTTATGCCAGGGGCCGCAGTATAAGATACGTTATTAGAAATAAGTAGCATTTCGGAAGCCAATCGAATTCCCTTCCTCCAGGATCATCTCCAACACTTCAACAATCGACGGTCGTCAAACATGTATTCTCCCATGGATCGACAACCACATCGGGAAAACTCAGATAAGTATGGCCCCAGTAGGGGCACATTGGCAGCTGACGGCGCTTTCAGCCGTAATCGCCAGGGGCCGCACTAAAAGTTACGTTTTCCAAGCTTAACAAGTTGTTCGGAGCCCAATCGGTTTTTCTCTTCAACAGAAATCCTCTGAGATAACTTCTGATCTTCTACGACCACAACTTCCTCTGAGCATTTTACGCCCCCATTAGGGCAAACTTTGGCAACAATGGAGAGTTCGTCCGTTATCACCAGGGGGCGACAGTTAAGTTATGTCTGTCCAATAACGAATTTGTTTCGGAATCAAGCCGTCTTATTCTCCAATAGCATACGAGGGTCAATTCCACCGACAGAGGCCAGCATGTTCGTTCCACCGGCAGCGGAAGCATGTGCGCTAGAGGCGTATGGTTGGGAGTCATACGAAGTCAGTAAAGTTTCCAAATCGGAATCTATGGATTGAGTTTGGAGTATCGTCAGCGTTTGGTTTGGCTTGACGGACGGTCAAGGCCAGTCACCGATCGCGAAGAGATGCGACTTCCACGAGGTTGTTGAAGAAGATAGAGAGGATCTGTGTATATATTTGAATTTATCTTTTGTAGTTATAATTATATTTTGAAATGTTTTCGTTTCGAGTGAACTCAAGGCGGCCGGTATGTTAGGGAAACTATGAAACATAATTGTGTGCATCACTGTAGATAATTTAAGAGAAATGAGTGACCACGATCGTCTGCATGTATGCAGATCATACTCTACCTACCTATAAGAGAGATAGGCACGATAGAGAATCAGTGATGTGCTCTCGCAGCATCACTTGTAAATAAAGATAGGAGAATAGCCAGTTAGCTCCCGACCACCAACGGTACCGGTATCGATTCAGTTCGATCGCGTTGAATAAATACAGTCCACTTAGAGTAATAAATGCGTTTCGTAGTGCATAGAGTAAAATTATTAATTAGTGATCGTATCACACCGGTGTTAATCCGAACTAGCTATTCGCGGGTGCGCACGTAGTGCAAACGGGGAATTACCCAACACCATTCTTATATGCGATTTTAACTTAAACTGTAGCAATTTACGATACTGTCTGTACATTGTTTTACGACTTCTGGTTGTATGGGCAATCAGGCTAAGGCCTTGTTGTCCTCTGCTGTCCGAAGAAGTCGTTCCCATCAAGTCGCTGGTATCACATGTTGTTAAACATTCCATGTATACAATTCCTGTAAATGTAATACTATTAATTATTGTGCATTTCAAGACCAGCAATTGAAATGGCCTTAACTCCATTTTGTAAACAAACTTTGTAAGGCCATTTTCTCACGAAACGAAGTCCGCAAAGGCAAACCTATATAATAAACAGGTAGGGGAAATTCTCCTCTACCCGATTGTGGTTTTGGTTTGCGAATGAAGATTTCGGTTCGCGGTAAAATGGCCTTACAAGGTTTGTTTACAAAATGGAATTAAGGCATTTAAATTATTGGTCTTGATTTCGCACCAAAGGCGACTACTGTTCTAGAAATAATCCCTCGAAGTTTATACGCTCATTACCAAAAAAAAAAATTATTTGCAACAATCCTTTTTGTTACGCCCGCTCAGCTCACAAGTAACCCTAACCACACTCTGAGTCGGCTTCTTTCCACCGAGGTTTGCGAAATAAGAGGAAAAACCATAAGGCAATTAATTTGCTTACTGACGGCGATTTATTGAATTTTTGCCATACCGGTCCCTAACAGCCCCATCTCTTCCTATTAATAACGACTCACGGTTTCTGTTTGTGTGTGGTGTCAGTTTTAGGTCCGTCGATGAACGCTCGCTGGTTGGTTCCGCAACGGATTGGACGATGTCTCTGTGCCTAATCGAATCCTTGGTCTCCTTACTTGCCGTTCGCGCCAATCTGGCCTCCCCGTAGGCCCTCCGTAGGAAACCTCCTTCCACTTGGTGGGACCAACAATGCACTGAGGTTTATCGTAAAAAGTCCGACGCGTTTAAGCTTTTCCGGAAACGTGGAACACCCGTGAATTTCGAAGCGTACTCTTCTCTTGAACACGAACTCAAGAGCCTCATCAAAGCCAAGAAACGTGGATACTAGCGGCAATTCGTGGACGGATTATCGCGCGAAACGTCGATGAATACGCTTTGGAACGCGGCGCGAAAGATGCGTAACCGGTATTCGAACAACGAGAGCGAGGAGTACTCATATCGTTGGATTCTCAAGTTCGCGCGAAAAGTATGTCCTGATTCCGTGCCGGCACAGATGATTCCTCGCGAAACGACGAATTCGGTAGACGAGATCAGCCAGCCTTTTTCAATGCTGGAGCTCTCACTCGCGCTCCTTTCGTGTCGCAATTCGGCTCCGGGGGCTGATAGGATCAAGTTCGACTTGTTGAAGAACCTCCCAGACGTCGCTAAGAGGCGCATGTTGAACTTGTTTTGTCAGTTCCTGGAGCTCAATATTGTTACGGATGATTGAAGGCAAGTGAGAGTTATAGCCATTAAAAAGCCTGGAAAACCCGCTTCAGATCATATCTCGTATCGTCCCATCGCGATGTTATCGTGCATTCGAAAACTGTTGGAGAAAATGATCCTTTTTCGCTTGGACAAATGGGTTGAGACGAACCACCTACTCTCAGATACTCAATTTGGATTCCATAGGGGCAAGGGAACGAACGACTGTCTCGCGTTGCTTTCCACAGAAATTCAGTTGGCTTTTGCTAAAAAAGAGCAAATGGCTTCTATATTCTTAGATATCAAGGGGGCTTTTGAATAAGTATCAGTTGAAGTCCTTTCAGACAAACTCCACGCTTGTGGCCTTTCGCCATTAATAAATAACTTTTTGTACAATTTGCTGTCAGAGAAACATATGAGCATTTCTCATGGAAACTCTACAGTTTCTCGATTTAGTTACATTGGTCTCCCCCAGGGCTCATGTTTAAGCCCCCTTTTGTATAATATCTACGTCAATTGACACGATACTCCGCACAAGACCATAGGATGTGATCAGCGTCCTGGTAACCTTGTCCACAGTCACAGAGTTTGCTTTCTCCCAACCCCACACGGAACAAGTGAGCGTTTAGACAATAGTGATTGGACATGAGACGAGACATCACGCGTATGAAGTCTCGACCCAAGTCCAACGCTTTGAACCATGCAAACTTCGGCACCTTAGGGATAATTGAATGTAGCCATCGTTCCAAGCTCCCTTCACTCCATTTATGTTGCCAGCTAACGAGCGACTACTGACGATAAATAGAAAAAAAAATCAGACAAAAGATTAAAGCCAAGAGGTAGGTCACTCCGCACTCCAATCTTGTCTCATATTTTTTGTCAGTGTGCCGATTGTGCCGGTCATAGAGCAAGCTGCGATTGTTTGTAAAATACCCATCCCGGTAACCCGGTATTTCTGACACCTTGAATGTTTTGGTTTGAAATCACAAGCATTAATCGGATTGATGATGACGCGAGAAGTGGCGGGTGTGAGAAATTTTTTTTTTGTTTCATTGGATAATAAAAGTCCTGTGTTTTAGGGTTTTATAATGCTCTCAAAGGCAGGCTTGGTTCTCTCCTTGGTGTGAGTGAAGAGAAAAGTGTATCTGCTACGTGCACCGCATCCAACAAAATTGTGCGCGCACCGTAGGTCGGCTTGCTCTACACCAAACGCTCAAGCGCACCGATTGTACGTGAGTGCGAGAATGCAATGCATCGCATACACTTCGGCAAATGAGAAATCCCGAAGTTTTGCACTTGGCTACATTCGGCTTTTGACGTAGGACTACGTCTTTGATTTCTATTTGGAGGTACACTTTGTGAAAACCGAAAATGGAACATGTAACAAATTAAGAATGATTTTGAACGTTAATAACTCAGCTGCCCCTGGTCCAATTTCAATAATTTTATCACCAATCAATCAGAAATATGGCTACGCATCGATAACAATGCTTCCAAATGTTGATTTTCAACAAGAACTATTGAAAAACTGGTAAATGTCCAGCATTGTCCAAAAGCGTCGAATTAACTAACAAATCCACCAATTACCTACATGCATATGCTGCTTCCCCAGCACAGTCGTCAGAGAGTAGTAAGTAGACGAAACAAGTCGAAGTGGCATTCGCCTCCAATCCTCGGCCGCGTGCAAATAGGGAGGATGGAATTGCGTAATATTTTGCACACTCATCGCCATATTCAGAACCAAACGCAAATTCTTCAAGATAACCACCATCCGTAGTCTTGCTCGCCGTGGTGGTGTCTGCCGTATTTCCGGTCTGATTTACGAGGTGTGCTGAAGGTGTTCCTGAAAAATGAGATCCGTGATGCTGTCACGCCAAGCGTAAGCGGCCATGGATGTCATCTACGTTTTGAAGTGACAGAGACGCACTCTGTTTGCTTTCTGAGGTTAAATCATCACCAACTTTGGCAACAAAACGGCTCTTTTCAGGGCCACCAAGCCTATTACAGTAAAGAGTAGGAATAGAATTCATTTGCCTGTTTGTCCATATTCAGAACCAACGATCACACA